ATACAATGTAAGATTACGTTTAATATAAAATATAATACATATTTATGCATTTTGATATTTTACAAATGTATAAAACAATTCTTTTTTGGGAAGAAAAGAAACTAAACTTTATCCGAAAGTTTCTTTCTGCATCAATATTTGTTCCGGTTTTTATTTAAATTCATAAAAAAGAACTAATTGCATGAAATTTATGAAAAGCTGTCTCCTTGCTTATATTTTCAAGTCATTCAATAATTTGATGACAGTCCGTGGCAGGATATCGAGAGAAACAGTAATATTAACGTTTTTGGAACGGTGCTTGAATGATGGCTTCTTTCCTCGTTATATTATTAAAGCCGTCTATGTATATAAAATACCTCCTTCATTAAAAAATCTTCGACCTGTCCTGCATCAATATTCGTTCTGGCTTTATTTAAGTTTCTTTGACGGCAGAATTTAATCAAAGTTTAGAGGTTAATTTGTGTTAATTTTGTTCAAAAATATTTACTCGATACTTTTGTTATTAAGTTAGAAATATTTTCTTGATATACTACCAAATATAATAAATAACTGCAAAATAAGATTGTTTTTAAAATAGGATTGCCATATGCAGTAGTTATGAGGTGTATGCTACTGATGCCGACAGATATAAGTAGTATATATCATCAATCGAAAAAGAAATATCTGGTAGCAGATGGTTAAAAAGATCTAAGAAAGAGAACGAAAACAGAGAATGATTGGTGTGGAAACGAAGGAACAATTAAGTGTGAGGAAATTGATTGACATTTTGCAAATGAATTATTTACTACATGATTCTCAGATTTTACTAAGCTGTTCTGTAATTTTGTATTCAAATACATTCGATTGCCCCAATTGTGTTCTCATTCGCTACATTACTAGTAAAGAAATTTGTACGTTTAAATATAACTAAGACTATTATTAACATACATTCATTTGTTGGATTTTTAATAAAATGATTTACAAACTCTATCCACAACGATGTATCATACTTTAAAATATACTCTATAAGGATGTTTTGTCATTCATAAAAATCATACATATTCTCTGCTACATTTAATTATCGTTAAAATATCAGACTTTTCTAAGTTTGTATCTTTTTTTATCATCGGAAATGATGTCGCATAAGATAGATAATTATGAATACTGTTCATTATGCTTGTTTTCTGGGAAGCGTTTCTCCCCCTTCCTCTTTCTCCTAATAGTCGACTGAATTATAAAGACCTCGACATCTGAGGAAAAACATGGAATAAAATGGACAGCTGAGAACCAATTAGACGATTTGGACTTCGCAGATAACCTAGCCCTCCTATCGCATACACACAAACAAATGCAGATAAAGACAGCCAGTATAGCATCAGTCTCTGCATCAATAGGCCTCAACATTCATAAGGGGTAAACCAAGCTCCTCGAATACAACAGAGAACACCAATCCAATCACACTTGATGGCGAAACTCTGGAAGATGTAGAATCCTTCACGTACCTGTGAATCATCATCGATGAACAAGGAGTTTGAGATGCAGATGTGAAGGCAAGGATTGGGAAAGCAAGGGCCGCATCCCTACAATTGAAGAACATATGGAACTCAAAACAACTTTCAACCAATACCAAAGTCAAGACACTTATACTGTACGGAGCTGAAACGTGGAGAAACACTACAACCACCATCAAGAAAGTATAAGTCTTTATAAACAATTTTCTACTCAAGATAGTCAATCTCCAGTGGCCGCATACCATCAACAACAGCCTATTGTGGAAGAGAGCAAACCAGCTGAAGGAGTAATTAGAAAAAGACAATGGAAATGGATAGGACATACATTACGCAAATCATCAAAATGCATCACGAGCCAAGTCCTAACTTGGAATCGTGAAGGGAAGCTGAAAAGAGGAAGGCCAAAGGAGAGATATGAAGAGGATGAATAACAACTGCAAAGAGCTGAAAATGATTGCCCAGGACAGGGTTGGATGGCGAGTGCTGGTTGGCGGCCTACGCTCCTCCACGAAGGGTAACAAGCGTAAGTAAGTAATGCTTGTTTTCTTTCATAATGACTTAATAGATTTCTTTAATTATTAAGGAAATATTGTAATAAGCTAAAATATAAGTAACAATTATAAAAAAGAGAAGTTGAATTATTTTTAATTCATATTGTTTTATGTCCTCCTACTTGATTATGGCAAATATGATATAGAACTAGTGGCAGTCGAATGCGTAGAAACCCAGTTGCAAATCAAAAGATGGAAGGAGCAGGGGAAGTGGTTATTTAATAACAATAAGACAAAACGACCGTCCAGTTCTATCAGGTTTTCCATGGTGGCCTAGCTTCATCTGACTCATGATCTGAACTATAGAAAATACTATAATATCCACAAAAACCCCTTTTGATATTTGGTAAGTCAAAAATGTCCAGAAAATAAAGATATTTAGAATTTTTATTACAGGCTATAACACCATTATGATCCAACCAATCCTCAAGTAAAAAGTTATTTAATTGCCTAGTGATAACATCCCTCATTGACAATCAAGAAGTTTATATTAGGTTCTGAGTGAATGGAATCCCTTCGGCTTCTTAAGAACATCTGGAGGCCTCGTCGTGCTGTTTGGGAACCATTTCAGCATATCTATTACCTACTTTTGATGTAGATTGTCTTTGTGATGATTAGCTAATCATGAGAGTCTAAACCTACTTTCCTTCATTGATATTTTCTTATTTATTCTTGAAATTTTTCATTCTGAGTTAAATGAATATTAGTTTAAATTTTCATCATGCGTTGAAGTTAAGTAAATGGGCATTGGGAAATAGATAGCACTGGGCAGTTGTGCGGCCTCATTTTGAAACCACATATTCATGACCATACATGAAATTAATCTTAGAATCATCAGGAATTATGGCGACTATATAATCACTCATAAAAAAGTACTTCTCAATTTTACAGTGATATTAAGATTCACGTTATGGAATAAATACTAGACATTCTGAAACCGGTCATATCCGAAAGTTCTTAATCCCTACCTAGTTCGGACTAAACAATCCTATTTTTGATCGGTAAAGGATAAGACAATAATTAAGGGATCAATGAGATCTTATATTTAGGATCATATGAAAATGCCATCAAATATGTGTGACAAGTATATGCCGAATATATACCAAGTAATTCACCAATGAACAACTGCCCGATTTTCACATCACTTTTGCCAACTTTTCCCAGCATTTACCAAGTTTTCTGTCCAGTAAGTCCTCCTTGCTTTTGACACTGGTTAGTTTTATATGCAGTGAGTAAAAGGCTACTGCCTACGATGACTGAATAAACCTTTTGTATTCTCTGAGTTTCCACTTAGTCGCAATAAACTAACAATCTCATATAGATAAAACAACTAAACTGAAAAATTACACTTAAAATCCCTAAAAAATTCTATTTAAGCCAGTCCTGAGACATCATGTACCAAAGAAATTGTCCTCTGGTGTGTACATCACTAAAAACTTTAGGTCATCCTCAAGTAGGTGTTATAAGCTTATTTATTCTTCAAAATATTAACTGATTACTTGCCCAAGCATTTACGCTATACATATTGTTTGTGGGTCCTTTCCATCAACCAAAACTCACTGCAAATTCTGCTTATGCTGACCTCCGTTAAATGGGTTATATTATTCCATTTGTTTCAACACCTCGAAGAAACTAAAATCCATTAAATCATACGGAAAATTACAAAAATATGTATAAAACCGACTTCCCATTAATTTAAAAATACTTAATTATCTCTCCGCAATATATACATTCTTCACATATCCGAAAACCAATACTCATATATCGTTCACTAAAGGAGATTTATTTTAAATCAACCGAACCAACTCGCACTAAACAATGATCTTCACACCTAATACTCTTATTTAGTCATGTAAGAACCACTACTTACATAAATTACGTTTACATTGCTACTTAAATTTCGAGAATTTAGGTGGGGTGATGTGAGGTGCTCCAAAATAGGATTACATAAAAACCGGGACAAATCTCATTATATAATAGTACAGCTGCTGATGAAACTACTAAATATCATTGTTCAAGATATTCATGTTTCGAAATCCCCACACTTAACTTATAAGTTAACTCGGAATTGATTTTTATAGAATATTGTGACACGTATCCGCATATGCAGACGCTATGCTTAAAAAACCCCTCAGAAGTTGGGATATTTTATCATAACAAAATATATTTTGTCAAGTGGTACGCTAGAATACATTGTGAAATCAGAATAAATAACAGTTTAGATCAAATTCTTCACACGAAGTACTGTTTCGAAACACTGTGCAAGTGGAAAATCATTCATTCACTACCTACTAATAACAAATATAAGTAGCTAAACAAATTAGATAAAAGTACTTAGTCCGTTTGGAAGCAGCGTTAAAATCACGAATAAGCCTAAGATGTATAATCAGACGTTGCTCATAGCAATTAATGGATTTTTAGTACAGACAAAGTCCCACCTAATATGGAATACAATATCGATATTTCGCAGCCTAACAGTGCTTGATGATGAGTTCTAAGAAATGAGACATAAAAATAGGACACAAATCTGTTTCAGTACAAAACGAATTTATCACGAAAGACTATGCATTACAAAATAATTTTTTGATTATAAATCATTCACCAAAGACATGTTTATTTACGTACATATGAGTTACAATTTCAAAGTAAGACGTCAAGAGTAGATGGAGCAAGGGTTGCATCCTACAACCCAATACTAAAATGTTCACGGTTGTAAAACATGAAACCACTGCTCTAAGTAATAATACAATAACTGAAATAAAATTTCCTAAAATAATCATCAATGTAAACAAAATAAACTGTTGACATAGCTTGGGAATAGAAAGAAAACAAATAGAATGACGGAAGTATATCACATGTGCATCATACAAATTAAAATCAAAACATGACAACAACAAAACACCAGAGGAAAACTGTGCATAGAAAATAAAGCATCCTTTCCTAATAAGTATAAAGTTGATTACAAATTTTTCATTTTAGCCATGAGTGATTCAAGGCTATCGTTTGTCTGTGAAATAAAAGAATCAGATGTCTCTTGAGAGTTTGAATCAATTTTTTTGTTATCCACTGTATACAATGTTTTTACACCAACTATTTCAGAATTTGAATTGGATAAATCATGTTTTATATTACAAGTGGATTCTGTAAAACTCGATGATTCTGATTCTAATTCAATGCCAAAATCATTTTCTTCATGTTTCGACTTGGATAATGCTTCTTTAAGTTTTTCATGTTTAATTTGTTGGGCTTCCAAACGTTCTTCAATATCCCAAGGAGAATCAATTGGAAGATTTAATTGTTGTAAGTGATTACGCCATTGAATTTGACGCAGATTACACCATGAATCAGCACAATCTGGATTTGCTTTCAATTCAACACGATAAAACGAGTCTTTAGCCGCTCCATAACCTAAGTAACTAGAAACCTTTTGTACAAAAATAGGTAAAAAGAAAGTAATATTTACAGCCAACAGAATATTCTTTTTTACGTTTTCATCTAAAAGAATTCATAAAAAGTTAAAAATTAATTTTATTTTACTTAATTCCAATAAACTAATATGTTTAGACTATTTTTTAAAAAACACCATGTGGAAGTATGGTCAAATGGACAAGAAACAAAACTCTGATTCTAACAAGCAAATAAATGATACTTGTAGAAATAACAAAGATGCAACGAACCATTCAGTTTTCTAGAAAATATTAACTGAGTTATATAAGGAAGACATTAGCCATTTCACAAATATCAATCAACGATAGTGTACGGTTTCGAATAGATATACTCATTGTTTAATATAATAATAATTAGTAATTGTCTACAAATGTTAGTCGCTTCTTCACAATTAATGTAACTACCGCACAGTCATAATAGAACCCTCAATCTTTCAAAATTCACATTTTGAAAAATATGAATAACTTAAGGTAGAACTTCCATTTTGATTTTGTTCGCTAAAAAGGAATTTTAAAAAACCCTAAAAATCAAACGGTTTTCCACTAGTTCTATCCAGTTTGTTAGAGCATTGCTATCTTTTTTTCATACCTCTTACACTAATATACACCAAAGAAAAACAAAAACAAAATACAGAAAAAAGCTTCAATTAATCCAATCAGTCAGAAACAACGTAGAACTTCGTACGTACGTACATCAGTTCGAGTTGCCACACCACATTAGCACAGAGATGCAGTTGTCGATTCAAATCCCATAGTGGTAGACGTAATAAGAGTGTAAGCAGTAATCGGGAAGATTAGGGTTTGGAGATGTTATTTAAAGAGTATAATCCAGTGAAATAAATTTGGAAAGAGGAAAAAAGGGACATGAAGAATTCAGAAGATTAGAATTTGGGAGAACACAGAGAGTGGATGCACCTGCGCCATTGCAAACGATTTTGAGCCATGTCATTCAAGGTCTCTAACCACCGGTTGCTATCATCTCGCGGTCCCCAACCAGGTAGTCTACACCTACCAACATGACTCAGTCCACTTGTCAGTGACTTCATGGACTTGTGCCATGTTTTGGTCTGGCCGCCTCTAGATTTCTTCCAACCTACTCCTATACCACTGAACATCGCACGTCGAGGCAGTCGGTGGTTGGGCATACGTAACACATGTCCCAGCCATCTCAACTGATGAAGTTTCATTACTTCATCAATACAGATTATTTAAAGATCTGAACAGGTAAGTAAGGCTAGTATTCTTGAAATTATTGAATATAAATGTTACGTCATTGTTCACTCCATAACGTTGTGTAAATATGCTCTATACTACAATATCATAAATAGTCCGTCAAATTCACAATACATGAAATAAGATCTAATTAAATCTTGTTTATGAATATAGAACAAATAAACCTAATTCAATGCGTTTCATTTTAACAATCATCATCAAATTTGATCATTATATATATATAAAGGTTAACATTTAATTATTCAGAAAGTTAATCAAATTGTAGAAATTCAGTAAGTTCAACGAATAGTTCACATGTGTATTAAATATGATCAATCAAAAAAAATAAAAAAAAGATTAAAAGTAATTAATAAAAGATCAACATAATCTATTAAATGAACGAAAAACAAGAGATCATTAAGGAAATATCTCATACACTTGAAAATTGAACAACTTTTCAATTAAACAACCACATTAAGTCTACAATTATATGAACTAGATAATAATCTAATTATGTCAAGATAAAACAAGTTCATAAAAAATTTAAAATAATTGCTTCTATGTAATTGAAGATTTTACAAATACAATATGGTCGTTGATAAAATGAGCACAAGAATTATAATTGACTTATATGAGAATAGAATGAAGAAAAGGAAAAACATATGTCTATATTTACTATACAACATTCGGTAAACATGTAAAAAAAAACTAGGTTGTTCAAACAACTGCGCGGCAGTCCGTTCTGTTTTAATTTACGGCAGCGAAACATGGCCATTAAGAGTAGAAGACACTCGTAAGCTATGAGTATTTGACCACAGATGCGTTAGAAATATTGCTGGCGTCTGCTGGGATCACCGGGTAAGTAATAGGGAATGATGGTAAATCAGTTGATTAGGTTGTGAATCTTCATCGACTGAGATGGTTGGGCCACGTGTTACGTATGCCTGAACACCGATTACCACGACGTGCAATGCTATCCGGTATTGGAAATGGTTGGAAGAAAGTTAGGGGCGGCCAAACCAAAACGTGGCATCAGTGCTTGAAGTCATTAACTTCTAGTGTGAGCTATGTTGGTTGATACAGACTACTTGGTTGGGGTCCGCGTGACTATCGTAACCAATGGTTGGAGACTCTTGGTGACATGGCTCAGAATCGATCACAATGGCGTAGGTGTATACACTCCCTATCTTCCCTTAAACTAAGAGATTAAAATCGATTCATATCTTTCTTTCTACGAACCAATTCTTTCTTCTTGTACTTTATCTCTATATGCAATCTTTCTCTTATATATTACTACCTTTGACCTAACCACTGCAATGAATCCGGTGTTCATCTTTTTGTGCTGATGCGGTATGGCAACCTGGACCGATGCACATATGTACCTGGTCCTACGTTGTAGCTGACTGACTACATAACACTAAGCTTTATTATTTATTTATTTATTTTAACACATAGATATTGGTACAAGGACACACCAAACACATATGTGCCACACAGATCTCATTCGATATGTGTGAGGGCTGTGATACTGCAAGGGTGCCCAAACCGAAGCAGGTGGTTTTCTTAGGGGACCACATCCGGGGCCTTCGACCTGAAGGTCTGATCCACAAGGCAGTGGAGCATCGTAAGGAGATGCAGTCCCATGAAAGCCGGTGACCAACAATTGGTTCATACGCCATTTGTTCCTTCAGGATACTGGAGCCCATGTGCACCATTGGTTTGAAATCAGGGTTTCCCAACTCCCCTAGGTGGACTCTCCGTGTTCACCAACCCGGTTAAAGCGCCGGACGTTCATTTTTCGTCCTCTCAATTTCGTAAACAACACCCCCGCCATGAGAAGGTAGTGAATAGGACTTCCCTGGCAGAGGCTATATACGCGTGGCCATATGAGAGCATTTCGAGAGGGAGAGCGGACTCTCCTCACTCTCGGCCGTACCAGGGCATTTGGGGGCAACACTTAGCTAAAAAGATTTTTTTTAAATGTAAAAATAAAACATTTGTGCAGATTTAAGGTTTTAGCAAATTATGTATTCAAAAAGCTACTGATACTTGAAAGAGAATGTACAACTTATTCTCACTGTAGCAGTGATAAGGACGTTCACATGAGTCCGAATCCTTAATCAATCATTAAATAACCATGTTTCATTTCTTAATTATTTACATACACAGTATGTCTATTTTTAGTATTCAGTGGACTTCTGTATCTCAAATTGTGTTATGTTTTGTACTATCTATTATACTTTGATTAATGGCACTTTAAGTTGATTAAAAGGAGCTGAAAATAAAATCTCGGATAGAGTACCGACTCAAGGGTAATAAATGAAACAAGAGACAGACACAAAAACACAGGCGTTTATACGAGGAAGTTGTAAATAAATTTCGCCTTTTAGAAATATTCGAAAGAGCTGATAAAGTGAAAAGGACTAACCAACTTGTTTGAATTGTGCCTCAATAATAAGTAAACATAGACATCAGAGGTTTATTCTTTAGGAGTAAATTCTTCTAACCGTTAAGAAATTCTGAGACCTAATATGTTTTCTTTCTACCAAATATTTACCACTGTCAAGCTATGACAATGGATTTGTTGTACAGAAAGTCTTTTTATTTGGCATTTTTTTAATGATCATATCAATCATGCCTTTTATTGTTACCAAAATAATCACAACGATGGTAGTAACCAAATATGGCATTAGTATCACCCAATTACTTCGAAATCAGCACATAAATACAGTTGCAATGAAAACAGATATTTAATTTTATTGACATTCACATCTATAAATATGAAAACAAAATATATGTGAACAATACTATATGCATGAGAATGAACTATGAGCACAAGTCATAAATCGACTATTTCAAAAAATGTATTAAGTTATAAGTATATACTTGGTGTAATGTCTAACACTATTACTAAGTTGGTGAAAAAAACAGTCTGGAATATGGAGCTTCGAGAACAGTCACAGCCCCGATTACTACTACTAACAAAAATGTCGCTTGAAATGAAAATAATAATTACTTAATCGTCAATCTTTGATATTTGGTCATAAAACCCTTATCATGGAAACAAAATGTATAGTAATAATGAGTTCCCAATGCTATCATGGAGTCATTAGGTATGATATAAAAAATTCTTATTGAAACTTCAGTTGCCGTTGACCTTCAATTAACGAAGTGGATAAACTGACTATAAATAAGAGAATAGTAAACTTAAATGTAGAAAATAAAACCTTGAACAACAGAAAAAACATACTTCGCCGAATTTTAGCAGATATTTCAAAGTATTCTGAACTAATAATGAAGAAACAAGAGCCATCGTAGTAGGAAGTGATGCTGCGCATACTCCTTCTCGTTTAAGAGTTTTCTCATCCAATCCGCTGGCCACAATTAGTGGTGGCAGGCATTCAAAACATGGTGTTCGACCAGGATACATAAGTTGAATATGACAGCTAACAGCGTCTTCACTGACACCAGACTCATACCAAACCTATATTAAATAAAATTATGTGAAGATGAAATAATCAATGTGAATCACGCACCAAATTCAAATGAGTGGAATACATATATTTATTTATTTAAACACAAACATTGGTACGAAGAGGCGCCAAAACATGTATGGGCCACACAACAAATCATTCAACTTTTGTGTGGGCTGGGGTACTTTCCGGGTGCCCAAACTGAAGCAGGTGGTTTTCTTAGAGAGGCCACCTCCCGAGCCTTTAACCTAAAGGTCCAATCCATAAGACAGTGGAGCAATGTAAGGAGATGTAGTCCCATGGTAGCCGGTGACCAACAATAGGTTCATATGCCATTTATTTCCTTAGGATCCTGGAGCCCATGTGCAGCGTTGGTTTGGAATCAAGGTTTTCCAACTCCTCTAAATGAATCCTCCATACCCACCAACCCAGTTAGAGGCTGACATTCGCTTTTCGTCCTCTCAATTATGAAAAATATCATAATGACAATATTAATATATTCATAAAACTATATAGGAGGGAATATATTAAAAATACTAAGGAATAATTGGAAATGAAGTTAATGAAGACTTGATGGGGATAACCGAATTATCGTTTAATACAAAATTACAGAATATCTTCGCAAAATATGAAAACCATATATTAAATACATCATTTGCATATCTTCCATCAGTTGTCTCTTACAAACTTTATCGTTCATTTTTGTTGTTGTTATCACAATGACTCTCTTATTATATTCTTATCCTATTCAATTCGATCTTCTCCACTTTCTACTCCCAGCTATTCCACTTCCAATTGTTGTTACATACTACGTATAATCAACGATATACGTAGAATACACCACAGAAAGATTCGAATAATTTTAATTAGTTAATTATTTATTTATTTTTAAATTCGATCCACATTGAAAGTTTTAACAGTTAAACTAATCAGTAATTCTTGAATTTCAATATCTTGAGAGCGAAACACTAAAAGGGATAGGACATAAAGTGTATAGAAATGAATTATAAAAATATTTATGTTACATTGTAAAATATAATGAAATAAAATAATAGAAAAAAATACAAACTTGACCAAGAAGATTGCACGCTTTATTGATTGTCATACGAGCTTCAAAATTGTCAACACAACTTAATACAAGATCAACAGGATTATCATCTTTTAAACCACCATGTTCTAAACGATTAAGAAAATGGTCAAAATTCTCTACTAAAGTTATATTATAGTTATGTGCTTCAATTTGTACATCTGGATTGATAAAACTTAGAGTAGATGCTGCAGCTGCAACTTTACTCAAACCAGATTGATGAGGCTATAAAGAGACGAACAAACAATAAGAATTGAAAATATTTAAGATATAGAGTATACGTAAATGAATTTAATGCAAGTCAAAATCTGTACAAAACAACTGGCTTGACAATATGTTTTCTGTTTAGTCAAAGATAATTTCATGAATATTTTTACATGGTATTCGACTGATGACGATTTATTGAAAAGAAAAACTTAATTTACAATCAAAAGTGTGCTTTAAGCTGAGTTCGACTATGAAGTGTTACTACAAACTGAATTTCACAATTGGTTTACACATAACAGCCTGCAATCGCTAGCCAGATTAGATCAGTCGATCCTCGATATATTGATAGTCTGTCAAATATATCTTCGAACTTCCTCGCTTCTGTCTTTTGATTTCACTCAGTCGGTAAATCAGTCAGCTACAACGTAGGACAAGGCACATATACGCATCGATTCAAGTTGCCATACCGCATTAGCACAGCAAAATGAACACCGGATTCGTAGAAGTACTTACTTCAATGGTGGTAATATATAAAAGAAAGATTGCATATAAAGATATAGTACAGGAAAGAACAATTAGCACGTAGAAAGAAATGAAGCGATTTTAATCTCATAGTTTAAGGAAAGACAGAGAGTGTATACACCGACGCCATTGTGATCGATTCTGAGCCATGTCACCAAGAGTCTCTAACCATTGGTTACGATAGTCGCGCGGACCCCAACCAAGTAGTTTGCATCTATCAACATAGCTCACACTAGAAGTTAATGACTTCAAGCACTGATGCCACGTTTTGGTTTGACCACCCTTAACTTTCTTCCAACCATCCCCAATACTAGTCAGTATTGCGTGTTATGCTAATCGATGTTCAGACATACGTAACACGTGGCACAACCATTTCAGTCGATGAAGATTCACAACCTAATCAACTGATTTACCATCATTCCCTATTACTTACTCGATGATCCCAGCAGATGCCAGCAATATTTCTAACGCATCTGTGGTCAAATACTAGTATCTTCTACTCGTAATGGCCATGTTTCGCTGCCGTAAATTAAAACAGAACAGACTGCCGCGCAGTATACTCGTCCTTTTATTGATATACGGATATCTCGCCTTCTCCATAGGTGAAGTAAGTGGGCAAAAGCCAAACGAGCTTTCTGAATCCATGCAGAGATTTTTTCAGACACTAAGCCATTAGTGCTGATCAGACTTCCAAGTTAAGTGAAGTTGTCAACGCTTTCGACTTCTTCACTCCCTATTCTTAGTTCAAGTGTTGACGCAGACCAATCCTGAAGCAACAACTTGCATTTAGAGGGGGATAAACGCATCCCAAACATTTTGGCATTGTTGCTAAGTGCTACCAGAAGACTGCATTTTATCAGCGTCTTCACCAAACAGGACTATATCATCTGCGTATTCTAAGTCAATAAGTGGACCTGCTGGAAGGGGATCAATGCCCGAAAATTCATTAGATCAGAGCGTTATTTCCATCAGTAGGTCTATGATGAAGTTAAACAAAAGTGGATAAAGTGAATAGCCTTGACGGATACCACTTTAGGTTGCAAAATCAGATGACAGTTCGCCATAAGCTCTGACTCGACTAGTAGTGTTCGAGTAAAGAGCCTTCACAAGGTTTACATACTTCTGAGGTACGCCTTTCAATGACAGACACTGCCACAGAATCTCGCGGTCTATGGAGTCAAACGCTGCTTTTAATTCAGCCTAACCAAACAAGATATTTCTTACTCCAGTATCTAAAGACTCCTCTTCATCAATGTTAACAGATATTTGTTTGCATATGTGAGGAGTCCAAGTATTCCTGGCAACACGCATGTCCATCATGATGAGTAGAATCAAAAATGTCTCAAGTGTTTAATAATAATTTTCAACGACAACTTACTTCTGTTTCGCGAAATCAACTGATCTTTTAACTGATTTAAGGAACAAAATAATTCAATAAAATTGGTTACCCTGCGTACACTAATATGGTAAGAGAAGTGAACAGGTCACAATGAAGAATAAATACGTAATTTACAAGCTCCTTGAGGTTGGATAATATACAATAATTATTCAGCAATAACAGCACAAGAAAATCTTAGTTGAGTTGAACAGACTAAGCACATATTGTAGCAATTTAATTAGATAAACTTCATATTAACATAGAAAAGACAAACTGAAAAGGAAGTTAGTGGCGATAAGAATCACCATACTAATCATAGTAGAAGAATAAACAACAATAGGAGATTGTTCATATAGAGATGTGTTCACATAACACGATAGTTGAAAACTTCTTCCCAAAGCTTTGAAATATATAATAACCCTATTAGTGTTAATAAAATAAAAAAAACCAAGACAATAATAATACTAAATTTTATCAACCTGAAAAAATAATCGATTCATATTGGCCAACTCCACTTTATCATAATCAAATAAAATCAGACGACCGATTCCACATCGAACAAGCATTTCAGCAGTAACTGAGCCAACACCCCCAATACCCACTATAACAACAGTCTTTTCTCGAATTCTGAATAATTAGAAATTAGAATTGAATAAAAGCGAATTAGATTATTGCAAAACACCACTTAAACAAATATGTACTTATGGAACGAGGAAGCGATCCATAAAATTTTATTCACGAACTCCTTGATATTTTTGCATCTGATAACAGTGAAAAATATTAGGTTGTCTAATGTCAATCATTCGCATATATCAGTGAACACGATAAAATAAGATGAATTGTTTCCGAGTTTCTTATGACGTCTAAACAGCCCAAAATCACATGGGAAAATATAATTATGAACAAGGGTTTAACACAATTTGGTTGGTGGAGTTTAGATGGATGTTTAAAACGGAACTGAGAATCGTTATAAAAAGAACACGATACAAACTGACTAAATATGGTTAAGATTGATGCGTGTTTGTACGTTGAAGAATAATAATGAAGAGTAAGGGATGGGATATTATGGTTACTAATAATCATAATGAAAAGAAAAAGGGATTACGCAATGTCTATAGTTATAGTATTTCCTGTAATTTTAAACTATTTGCAGCTGGAGAGAACCTATGAAATAGAATGCATTAATCTTGTTTTGCAAACCTTATTGTTCTTGCTCTGTTCAAACTTATCAAGCGATCAGGCTGTATCAAATAATCATTTTATATTATTTTCCAAAATAACTTTTTTCAATTTTACGTTTGACTTAGAAACAATCATCCGTTAAAAGAAAACAGTAACACGTGAGAAACAATAGATGATTGATTTACTCAATAAATAGGTCTATCTATTGAGTAACAACTACAAGTTTTTAACAATAAAATAAAGATATTCCTTAAATGGACTGCAATTTGAAAAACTGTAATAAATAACCAGGTGACTTTTGATTTTGTTCGGGTTTAAGAATAACACAAATTATGTGCAGACATTCGATAGTCTGAGAAATTGAAATAGTAAAAAAAATAGTTAAAGTTAAACTAATTACTTATGACAGATTTTTAAACTTAAATTACCATCAGCTGTACAAAGCAATATGTTCTAATTGATCAAATAAACCAGTTAACAAATTTTGCTTTGGTAGTATAAAGAGATTTATGGAGGTAGTAGAACTTTGATAGTTTAAATCACGAACTTATCTTGGCTAGGCTACCACTGAAAGCCTGGAAGCACTGAACGGTCATTTCGTTCTAGTATGGGACTCGTTCGAAGTGCGAACTTACGACACTGCATCTAAAAATAGAACCCACGGCCTTCAGTTGATTGACGTTAGGCATTAACACCGTTGGATACTGGCTATGGTCTAGAAGTCGAGGGTTCAAGAGCGGAACCGAAGGTCTTGAGTTTGATTTTCGCATGCGGGGTCGTGGATGTGCGTTGCTAAGGAGCTCAACATTAGAGCGAAACAATTGTCCCTGGTTTCAATGGTGGTCTAGCTAAGATCAGTTAGTGATTTAAACCATAGAATTTTTGTTTAGCCTTGTATATTGAAATAATAGCGAGAAATTTTCAGCAGAGCGAATAAATGGTGAAAACGCACAATAGAGGAAAGTTAAGATTGCTTTATTGAAGTTATCACCAGAAAAAAAAGTATAAATCCTGTATCCTTATAGCCTAATTTCTATTTCATTAGTGATAATTAACTATGACATACAGATGAAATTTCTATTGTTCAGTAGAAATGAATGGTATAAAGACCTAGAACACAAGACGGGAACCTAAGAATTTTTTGTAGAGATTGTTTTAAAAGCTATGGTACAGACAAATTAAGTTACAATTTTTCATGTCAGATATACGCTGTTTTGAAAAGAAGATTACTTGAACTGGTGAATTTTTATAATCAATTAATTATACTATTCTAGCATTTACAAATAAATTTGTAACATTGTTTTAATTTACTAAAACGTATTATCATTTGAAAATGAAGAGGAAATTATTTCTAATATGTTTTAAATACCGTAGACTAGTGATTGAAACTGATGAAAGGATAGAGATATTTCACTGTGATTGATTTCTCTATACAAATACTAATGTCAATATTTATCAGAAACATGTCAAAAATTCATAAGATACTAAATAAGTATTTGACTATAAAATGAACCACTCTAATTATATTGGATATTTTTGTACCGATTCAAATGATGAATTGACTGTTATAAACAAGTAAATTTTGTGTACATATAACTGATTACCTATTTAACTGTTTGGATACGATATTACTGTTAATAGAGCGTTTGTTATCGTGGTATCAATGTTTCTACGATTACTACTGAGACCCAAGTGTGACTAATAATCTGTATCTGTTATTGCAAACAGCAGCACCCATCTGTTTATTAAATGGAAAAGAATTTATTTTTAAAGGATTTCTACCTTCCCACTAAAATATTTAAATAATTCTGGTGGAGTTGACTTTACTAAGCTGAGTAACTTAATCATGGAAATTTCACTCTTCTTTTAAACATCACAACAAACTACTAACAGAAGTCTAGGTACGCATATTAACGGAATTTTGTGTTAAAGTAAAGGATTACTCTTCGTAATAATAATAAAATCTTTCAACACTGAAAAAATTTTCGTCACAAAATTATACAGACTGCGTACAGAGCATAATTTGTAACAACTCCCATACGTTGAAGTGCCATAAGACGACTATATGGATTAGAGTCGACAACTTCATTACTCATTTGATCAATTTTAGGACGAATAGTATGAGACTGAGATAAGTCATTTTTCATTTGGACAATTTGTGCTTTAAGTACATCAATTTCTGCTCGTAAATTTCTATTGGTTTGACGGAGTGAACTTTTATTATTTGATGGCATTAGGGACTGATAACTAGAAAACAAATGAACAAATAATTAAACATAATAAAACAAAAGTTTTAATTAACGGAAATTAATGAACAGATAGTCTAATTGATGAATTTATGTCAACTAGACAAACGTTAAATACCAAGAATAACATGATTTTCACTTCAACCTAATGTCCAACTCATTAGTACTACGCTCTCATAAGTCTACACTAGATCAGTCCGTTAGGAAAACTAATTACGAATTATTCATCAACTAAATTGAACATCAATAAAGTAATGAATTTAAAGTGTAGTGAAGAGAAAATGATCTAATATATTTTTTTGATTATTCATACTGAAAGTAACATTTATTTTAACAGTCAACTGTATAGAACTATTGAATTTTTGAACTGATTAGAGGAGGTAAATCTACAACTACCAAAGAACTGGATTGTAACAGTCGGAAAGCTGTTGTTATGTTAATAAAACTATTTAAGCATAATGTTTCCTAAACTTTACACATTTATTCCAAGCTACACATATAATGCTTCCTTAAAATGAACAACTATCAGTCAGATATATAAATTTTGAATGAAGTTTAAAAATAAAACTCTGATATTCGCATGGAGTCCACCATACAGCGCAATAATTAAAAAATGCTAATGTCAATCACTTATCAAGTTAGTGTTTATGTATTCGGCTTTGAGGTAAACTCTCAGTATAAGCTAGATATATTAACACATTTCTCAAACTAAAGTATGTTGAGGAGGACTCGAAATTGTAACCCAAAAATTGAAAAGGATTTAACAATTAAGCTACTACTTTATCTCAATATTCCTCTAATTAGACTTTTATCAATGGTTGTTCTAATATAAGTGAACTAGCATTAAACAACTTCCAGTAATAAATGCTTTCTAGAAGTAATCTATCAGTAATATATATATATGCATATACCAGTAATAATTAAGGATAAAGATTTTATTTATAACTGGCTAATCCAAAGTTAATAGTATCTGCAATTAAATGTGTTCTACCACAATCATTTGACAAATGTATATTCGTAAGTCCATTGAATAAAATGAATCACTTTGTACAATGAACACACGTGAATGATTTATAGTCATAATTAACAGTATTTTTTGCATTAATAACCGAATAGTATATATTATCTCCTTAAATCAATATATTTCGTTAAATCATATGAATAAGTTATACAACATTGAAACTATGTTACAGGATTCTGTGTTTTATAACTTGAGAAACTAACCAAGTACATTGTATAAGACAGTTTAAATTATGAACAATACGCGTCTGTATTTTATCTTTATTAAAATATAATTTAAATTTGAGAATTCGATTATTTAGCTAGATAATCAACAAGCACACTATAAATGACAACGAATATAAAATATATTCATTATCAAGCATGAATAAGCAATTTCTCGTGGCATAAAGGATATATCATCATTTTGACGACGGTTTTGAAAACAAATTAATCAGTATCAATTTTATAATCTTTAAAAACTATGAAGTACCAAGAGTTCAGTTTGTTATACCTTACAATTTCTACACAAGTTATTCGCTTAAAACAACTATGTAAGACTAAAATTATCCACAACATTTAGTCCCTATTTATCTTCTAATTCGTTTTTACGCATGCCAAATTGATTTGTTGACATTTTAATATTAGTCAACTTGTGAAATACAGAAATAAAAAGAATAAGATTAGACTTCACTAATATGTGTATTACTTCTATAACACAATTTATATAACTTCTTATTTAGAAAAATAACTTGTTTAGATCAATATCAATCACTGATGAGTAATATTTGCAAATGTAATTTGATCAGTTTAATAGATATAGTAATACAGGCATACACAAGCGCACTAGATAACAAAATCACACTATTTTTCAAAAGTTTTTATATTGAAATTGGAATTTTCAACAGTTTCCATTAACCACTCAGAATTATTCTGTATACAATACGAAGTAAATAAAAATGTGTACAAGCAAAATAAAACACTAAGCGAATGGGTAATGTCCTTTCAAATCTGATTTCTATAAGTAAATAAATAAATGAAGCAATAAACAACACATTAAAATATAATGAAATGTAGATTGAATAGTCTGTATGGAATCTCTTTTATTGTTCACCTTCGCCATGGAACAGCTTTACTCCCTCTAATGAGCACAAACGCGCACTACAAAATAATAGCTAAAACTGGAGATCGGATCTAAGACAAGTAAATAATAATGGTGAAAGACACTTGGTGACTTTTTTTTTCTTTTCTGTAATATACACAATATAAGACAAATACTTCTTGGGTACAATTCGTAGTTAATCAGCAATTCCTCGAGCTAATACAGCAAAAGCATCACGTTGTAAACGACGTCGCTCAACTCTAGGTAGTGGAAGTTTATCTAACATAATAAATAATTTCCGAAATCTATTATTTTTCATCATATTTGGAACAATCATTTGTGGTGAATTACGCATTCTACTAGATTTGGAGCATATATTAAATGAATTATCTGAATCAAAATTAGATGTTTCAGTGTTTAGAAAACGATTGGAATGAAATATATAAAATATATGATGTAGAATAGCACACGAGCATAAACGGCTTAATTGTGCAATTGAATTCTGTAAAGTTAATATAAAATAATCATACAAAAAATGAGGAATCTATTATACTGATAAGAATGAAAACTATCAATTTTATTAACAACGTGTACAGAAAGAAGAAAACCAGAATTTAAAACTTATTATTTAAAGTCTGCTTGAAATAATCTACTTTAAAATCATTTGAAATGACGCAAATGAACCCATTCTTTGTCATCCCCCAAGTTCTGAGATCCTAAATTCCTCAGAATATTTCTTCTGTTCCACTAGTTTATATTTTCTTGAATTGTATATTTGATGCCTAATCTTTTTTATTACCACTGATACGTTTACTACCTCCACTATACTGGAATTCGGCCTGACAATTTCATCTCTCTGTGCTAATGGAGTATGGCGATTTGAGCCGACGTACATACGTACCGAGTTCTACGTCGCGACTAACAGATTGTACGTGTGAGAAACTCTTAAATGGGATCCATCAACATTACTCCACATCGTTTCGTTAAAATATAAGTGTATAAGATATGATTATTAAGAAGACCTAGTTCGACATTGAATATTCAACGGTACGTTTCGCAACTTGAAATATGGGCATTCATATCAAGCAATAGACCAAACATGAATTTTAAAACCTGAAAACATAAGAATTCAGTTCATGACTCCCATATAAAATAGAGTTTACATTAAATGAAGATTAGAAGACCTAGTTTCCCATATAATACTGTTAATTCAACTTATGACATACCATCCCTTCCAACAGTATATGACGAAGATATGGTAGGTAACTCGGAAGCATCAAACATTACGACGCCACTCTCTCTATGTAGAATCTGAAGACTTTTCTTAATACTAAAAATCCTTCCTATGGAAAAATATAAAGTGAAAGTGTAACGACTTATAGCCTGTGACACAATCGTAGTCTGAAATAGAGGTGAGTTTACGAAGAATGAAGTTACCAATAGTGATTAATTTTAGAATTGGTTTCTTGCAAGTACTTCGTAGACTGGAAAATAGACAACTAATACAGGAAATATAACTGTTACACCTGATATTTATTGTCTGATACACTTATTTACGGGCTTAGCAACCTACAATTATTGATGACTAAAAATAACAGAAAATTTTAAACTCACCTTTCTTAACTTCTATACCTGGGATCAAATTTCTGAAATAATTTATACTATAATACTGAAGTAAAATGTACAAAGTCTATTTTTAAAAAATCACAGATTGTATAGCTATGTTTCACCTTTTTATTCTACTAATTAAGCGAATTTAAAAGTTAGTTCCCATACAGCAAAAAACATACCTGTTGTAACGACCGCAATTGAATTGCTTTAGTTTGGCCATAAACATCAAAAACAGCCCGCATACGCGGTGTGGAAGAAGGGATACTATCGGAAGAATGAAGATCAGAAGTTGGCAATGATTCAGGAGTTTCACTAGTACTGTTAGTCACACTATAATTGATACTGCTTGCATCTCCATTGACAGGTGAAAATGAGGAGTCCACACTGATTAGATTCTTTTCAAAATCAGATGGTGAAATAGCCACTGTTTCCTGTAGCGAAAAATTACACAGAGGTTATGATCTCCTGCTAGACTTCACGATTGAGCAGATAAATTAGTTTCTACAACGAGCATTAAGAATCTAGTTATACTGGACTTTTGACAGCCTTAATGTACGTACACTTTATTAACCTATTTACTATCAAATTAGCGATTCGTAGTAGTCTTTTCTAAATTTAATCTTCCTAATATAAGCAAAATCGGTATTTAATTAATGATAATTCTATCGTTTGAACAATGGTCTTGCCGTTTGATTTCCACGTAGTTGGAATTTGAGGCTCGATTACTTATGATTGGACACCTCAAGTGAAATGGCTCCAAATTGGTAACAGTCATGCGGATATACTCATTTTTCATCTTTTTTTGAAATATATCTCATATTTATTATTTCCGCCTCCATGCTTTTCAGTTTTCTAGTTTTTCTTCTCGTTGTGGCGATATTATGCAGCAGTACACGTAAGCAAATCTAACGAAAACTTTTAATATATTTGATCATATTGGATGCAAATGGTCAAATGAGTGGAGCAGTCAATAAAATCAATACTCCCTTACCAACTCGCAAACTAGTTATTGAGAAAAACAATCAGTGAACTTATTCTCCAAGTACTTGGGTATGAATGGCACTGATACTACCGAGTTGGTCCAACAGAAGGTGAAGCAGGATTCGAACCTCAGACGTTTTGGCTAAAATGTAAAATGCCACTGCTATAACGTTAAGAAGACCATTTCCGAAATATTTTATTAAGATCGACAGGTAAGAAACGCAGATTATGAAGTGTAGTTACCACAAAACATTTTTCGAGGGATTAAGTTAAAGGTCCAAATACGTTTTAATGAAGTATGACTTACTGCTATTGCAATCATGTCGATGCCATTAATAACAATATGAAACCGAAAAAGAAAAAGCAGTTTTTCCGTATCTGAATCCTCTTCACTTTCGGTAGAGTTTAAAGTATACCTCAAAAGGTTCTGTAAATTCTCATCTGGTATTATAGACGGAATATTGCTAATATCATTAAGTATGTTCATAGTTCCATCTATCGGAAGACTTGTACATTGTTCATATGAATCATCTGTAGGTAGTGGCTCCAGTTCATAGTAGATGGCTATAACACTACCTTTTTCGACATCAGGAGGTCGCGCAAGTTCTAGCTCATTTGGTACTAGTTGGCTCAGTGGTACTCGACCACGCTTTGTATGGAGACAACAGACACAAAAGAAGGGAGGAGTAACTTGTAGATGTGTAGGTTGTTTATCCATATGAGAATTAGTTACCAGAACATTTGGATTATTGATAAAACCACTGATTGAGTTCATACTGGGCACATCTACTTGTCTTTCGCAAAACATATTGACAGAATCAAACGACGTGGGTAGATTGTTATTGGTTTTACTCAAATGACGACCAGATTTTAATTGCTGTCGTTTCCAGTAAGTTTGATGATGATGCGACAAGAGAAGGGCCACAGCAGTTCCAACCGGTACAATCCAACTCCTACCTGGAGAAACCAAAGCAGGTAGGGCAAACCTGAAAATAAAATAATGCGTAGTAAACTGTCATCATTGGAAAATATTCCTGACAGATAAATATTCTGATACGTAAATTGTGAAGTTATGCAGTTAATATCATAAAGTAGAGATCACAATTGATTTCCCAAAAGATAAGTGAAAAAATAAAGGATGGATTTCGATACCCAGCTAGAGATATATAAGTTTATACCGTTGCGAATACTACTATTGAATCATGTGCAAACTAAAGATAACACTAAATGATGAGAACTAAGAAACTTACACCAGAACAGTTAGTGAATTCACATTTACGACTCGAGTTAGGGCTTGTACTCGGTTAGTATTACCTAATAATTTTATGTAAACGAAAACCTGACAAGAAATCATTAAAAGCGTACTAGATGTCTCATTTGTTTATTCAAACATATTTTGGATAAAAAACTAGTAAGGGCATCCCAGACTACAAAATAACACTGAAGAAATTCTCACTTTGTTGTTGTTGTCTTTGGGCCGGACAATTTAGCTGTGAAGTCCCCTTTGTTCATAATGGATAACATTATCAACACGCACTTTTGAGGCAAAGCTAGAAACTGATAAGTACTACTACATTTCATGGAACCAATGGGGCTTCGTGTACTATAAAAAAGGGTTCAACTATACAACTAGTGAAGCAACATTCCTTTCTGCATTGAATACTTTTAAGATTACCATCTAAAAAAGAATTGGGATGGAACGAAATTAATCAAACAAAGTGAGTATATAAATATTGACGATAGAGATTCAGGATTCGAAATAGCTTTTGATATAGTTTACCAGTCTGAATCCTTAACTGAACCTCCCATTTTTACATTTCTCTTCATGGATACCATCCCATACTTTAAGACGCTAATTTCACTTAGGGAAATAGTTCTGCAACTTATATGCATTTCTCCCTTTTCACAGGTAAATGTAGCTATTTGCTTTAACTCATAGATGAAGTGAACTTAGTGGAAATCAGATGTTTCTAGTTATGAATGGTCAAATAAATCGTTACAAGTATGGTTACGAAACGGAGTCAACATGCTTAGTTTTTGGAAAAAGTACCTTGAAAAGTCTACTTCTACTTCTCACACTCGTCTAATTTGTTCAAATCCATGTCAAAACAAGTAAAGGTAATCACGTATATTATTCTTAAGTTATTTTCACTAGAAACGTTATTGATAATACTATAGTGATTGCATTCTTGGGTTGAAGACAGAAAAATAGTTGTATGCTACGAAATCTACCGATTGTAAGATTTCAATGTGTAGTAGAAAGACGAGTAATTATCGAACAAGGGTATCACGCCATGATTTACCATATTGGTTTATCCGATATTAATCACTCTCAGCCAGTACTTCCTCAATCCCTAAGCCACAAACTATAAAGTGCTACACCGATTCTCTTTTATATTAAACTAATCATTACTGATACCTTTGACTCACAAAATATTACCAGCCAATATCAAATAAATTATTCTTTGGGACTCATATATAATAAAAATCTGTAAATCACCATTGATTTCTGATATTTACATGGAATTACAGATAAAGCAAGGCAAGTAAATGGGATTTTGTTCATTTGATTATTGCTTTTATTGTTTTTATAGAAACATGATGTACACCGGAATCTTAGTCACACAGACTTTTCTACGAAAATAAAACCCATTTACATACTACGAGAAACAACTAGTGGCGATATAGCACCGTAAGGCTGTTGAAAACTATGTTAATAATTTTACACACGACAAACATGATTAAGTTACTCAATAGACTGTCACTTTACCTGGGAAGAGGCAAGAGCAAGTTATCCGGTAGTAAAGTGAATCCGACTCTCAAATCCCCAGTCCAACCTCGCTGTGTTTCTGTAATTTCGACAGCTACCACTTCGCCTGGTCGGATGAAGCTTTGAGAAATAACTACCCCGTCACAAAAACCTATTTGACGACGAGCTTTCGTTCTATCGGGGGAAATTTCAACATATTGACCTCTGTGGTCGAAATTGAACACAGTAGAGATGTCTACATAGGTCGACATCACTGAAACAAAAAATGTTGATAACACTAGCTAATTAACCATTGTTTAAAGAATAACTAAATGTTTTCATCACAAACCCGAGATAAAACTAGGGACATGTGCGTCTGATAAATGTAGATTAGTTTCATTCAGGACAGGAGAAATAGTATAAATGACATTGAGTGTTTAGAAATCAGTTATAAGACTGTAGTCTCGGACTAAGTTTCATGAAACTCACTCTTACCTTTTAGTCTTTTTAATCATAATTTTCAGCTTGCTTGTCCTCTAACCAGTATAATCTCGGGACAGGCCATGGTTGCTTCAGTGCAAAATATACCCCGATAGATATAATAAAGGTTTGCAACACCATATAGCTATTCAAAATCTTCAGTGCAACAACCAGTACTATCAGTGATCCTGGATGGCTGCGTTAAAATACTTAGATAGTCCTAAAAAACCAGATGGTTATTTGCATCAAGTTAGCTATGATTTTATTTCCTCTTATATGTAAATGACCTTCCCCGTCTATCACCATCGGTCTTGCTATATGCTGACGATGTCAAGATATGTAGAACGATAAGGGTGATAGCTTAGAACTTTAAAATGACCTGGAGAAATTATTTAAATGGTCTCAAACCCGACAGTTACTGATAAATACTCCCAAGTGTATTGTGATGCATATCGGTCATAAAGGTATAGATACATACATGATGAGTAACATCGAGTTACCTGTTGTCCAGACACAAAATGGCTTAGGGAACATCGTTAGCCAAGACTTAAAGACTACTGCACACTGCCGTGCGATAGCCGCCAAAGATTTAAAAACCCTATGGTCAATGCGTAGGGCCTTTAGTCATGTCGACGCTAAAACATTTTTAATTTCGTGTTTGTGCGTCTCAAACTTGAGTACTGCATACAAGCGGCTAGCCGCTGCTTAAGAAAAGACAGTGAAATTTTGGAAAAGATTCAGAGGACAACAACCAAGCTAATTCCCGGAATAGCGAAGCTCCCGCACGATGCTCGACTGGCTAAACTAAACCTATTCCAGTCGTCGTATAGGAGAACTATAGGTGACTTGATTACCGTTTTCAAATTGCTTAGTGGTAAATCTGCACCTGATATGCCCACATTTTTCTTGTCTTCCAAAACAGAGAATTTACGAGGACACTCGAAAAAAGTTCACAATCCCAGAACAAATTACTTATCAGCTGGCTATTGACTTTCTTATCAACTCTTTCAACAGAAAGTTGGATCAACTGAAAGACCATGACTGATAAGACTAACACATGCCATCAAGCCTCCTGTCCTTTCCAAACTGAAATTAGAACTTTGAAAGTAAAGTGCGAAAATTTCGTTGAGACTGTTGAGCCCTTTGAAAAAAGACAAGATATCATATAAGATTAAATATTTGATGATCAGTGACCCCTCGTCTTTAACGATATTTACACTTAATGATGACTCATCTTAATATACTAGGTTAATGGTGAATTCCTGGTATTCACATTATTAAAAGCAAGAATAATTAACACTCGTTAATGGAAGTTTACAGAAGATAAAAGCCGCAATCATATTAGAAATCATCCACAAAATATCTCACCTAGAGAACCGATAACCTCACACACACTACATTGGAGCGCATAATTAGATCCAAGCGCGTGAAGATTAGCAATGTAATTGATTTTAATCTCTGATAGTTAAAAAAGTCGATCATAAGAATCCTGGAAATTTTTTTGACTATCCGGTTTTTCATGGACACGGTCTTAAATTTAAGGGCACAACAGGGATTTTGACACCTTATGTACAATTACATTACACTAAGGCTGTAATTTGCCACCAAGAACGAAGCTTCCACTATGGGAGAATACGCTGTTAATGGAGATGCACAGAATGTTAAACAAAACCGCATAGTTGAAAAGCTTTTATAAGATGCCATACAAGTTTTTCGCTACTTTAATGATACACGCTTTTCGAGCAGGAAGTTTAGTCCTAATGTGATTTGCATTTCTCAAACATTTGCTGTATTATTAAGCAAGAAAAGTGCCATTTCTAATCTAAATGACCTACTTTGAACTACACGTTCTATAAATTCTTTCTTTCAAATTTCACTCAATTTAATAGTTAACTGGTTTTGCCTCAGCTTACTATTCGGTTTTTCCTTCAGTTTTTCACGTAAAAGCAAGTTTTAATTTAACCTAACCCATTTTTAGTGTTGTAGCGGTAAATAAATCCCCAAAATAAATAGCCCTGAAAGTTTTCGACATTGGATGCTGACCGTATGTTTTCTAATGACTTTTATCACGAGAACACGATTAATTTAATGAAAACAATTATTATTATAACCAGTTGTGCTTGTTTTAATGTGCTCTTTGTTTAACTGTGCTAAAAACATCCATTATACTTACTTCGACTGTGACCTCGAGCGAAACCGGCTACGCTCAGTAACCAAGCATATATCCTGGCACGATCTCGGTATTTCGATACCACGTGATCGCCAGCAAATATATCTCGACTTGGTCCATTAACTGCCTCCTGATATTTGGCTTCCAGGGGGTCTTATGGATATCCTGGCACGCGTTCCTTTGTAGTGGTGTTCATAGTCAACTGGGACTCGACACCAAGCTACAGTTTTAATGGACTCACCTAGCTGAAGGCGCTCCGTCACGCATCCGCACCAGATCACGAGTGGGCACGCCGAGATCAACATCTATTGCAATCGCTAGCCCGATTAGATCAGACGATTCTCGATATATTAATATCACATCAAATATATCTTCCAATCTCCTCAATTCTGTCTTTTGATTTCTCTTGGTGGGTACGAGTCATATTAGAAGGTGTTACTGGTAAAAGTGTTGTCAAACACTGAATACCTGTAACATCTTCATTGGTGAGCCTAACGTGATATGGTACACCAAATCGTAAACTGTGAGTCTGTTCCTTTTCGGGATTCTATATATCATTGCTTCATCTTAATTTTTATACATTGTGATATTTTTTCGTGCTTTTGGAACATATATTTTTTCCCTTGTTCATTATCGTACTTCATATTTCATCATGACTGAACAGACACCCAAAGTATTTAAGCTTAAGACTTTGTCCCCACTTTCGTTTCAACTGATGCCCTTCTGGCCAGACAACATCGAAGCCTGGTTTCGTTACGCAGGAGCCGACTTCTCAGAGCACGGCGTGATCGACACACGTGCACAATTCCTCGCAGTAGTCAAGGCACTACCGTACGTAACAACTAGTATGCTTACTAGTGATGTTTCTGAACCTTACGAAACGCTGAAACGTTCTATTCTTAAACGCGGAGACCTAACCGATAAACCAACTCCTCAATAACATCGACCTGCAACACAGTTCTGCGACGGACATGGTGCAACGAATGAGAGAGGTTATCGGTCAATGAACTTTCGATGATGGCCTATTTAAACAACTTTTCTTGACGAAACTTCCTCAACAGGTGTAAGCTGTTTGTCTCGTTCCACTACCACGCCTTGGACGAGCTGGCTGCATCTGCCGACCGCATTTTAGAAATCACAAAATCTAATACCGAGGTTTTTTTCAGTCAAAGAAAAGCTTCAAAGGACCCAGAATGACATAACCGAGTTATGTCATACACTTACGCGTTATCTTAATTTTCGTAACGACCGTAAGCGACCACACACCCCACGTAGAAGCACCTCATGTGAGCGATCTATCTCTAGACCACGAGAGACGGATGATCCCGACTGGTGATGGTATCATAACCAGTATGGAAAGTCTTCCAAAATTTGCCGAAAATCCTGCAATTTTCCCAACTCAATACCGACCGACTCGAAAAACAACTGGGGAAACTTCCAAGCCGGCACGCGTTAACGGCAACCGTAGCCGGCGAACATAGCCGTCTGTTATACGTCACAGATGTGACAGCGAGAACTTGCTACCTCGTCGACACTGGCGCAGAAGTTAGCGTTCTCCCAGCGAATCCTAATGACCGGCTTCACGAATCGGCTTTAAACTTACAGGCGGCAAACGGAAAACCTATCGCTACGTATGGCAAGATATACGTTTACCTTGACGTGGGTTTACGCAAACCCATTCACTGGATCTTCGTTGTTGCAGATGTTTCTCTACCAATCATTGGTATGGACCTTCATGCATCACATCACGACTACAGGACCACCTGTATTCTCTAAAGCACGCCGACTAGCCCCCGAAAAGCTAAGGCTGGCGAAAAACGAGTTCGACCACACTATAGACTTAGGAATCATACGACCGTCAAGTAGTCCATACGCACTGCACATGGGAATCGCATCTACAGCATCTGGATCTTGTTTTCGACCGACTACAAAAACATGGCATTACTGTAAACATTCGAAAATGCCAAACCGGAGCTGACTCATTAGACTTTCTAGGACACACTATTGATGCTCAAGGAATTCGACCTCTTAGAACCAAAGTGGTGGGCATCCTGGATTACCCAAAACCGATCACCATCAACGAATCATGCACGTTTAACGGCCCTGTAAGTTTCAGTGGACAGTTCAAAACGAAATGCGCGTCACCTATGAAACCGCTAACGGACCAACTTCGTGGAAATGCGGAATCCATCAATCTAGACGACACCGCGTGAAAGCACTCTCCACAACTAAGGAACTTATCTCTAAAGCAACGATACTTGCACATCAGGACACCGAAGCACCCATTAGCATCGCAGTAGACGCATCAGACTCAGCAATCTGAGGAGTCTTACAACAATGGGTTAACCACTCCTGACAACCTTCGGCATTTTTATCAAGACGTTTGTTAGACACAGAATCGAGGTACGGCACATTCGGTAGGGCTCTTCTAGCCACGTACTGTGCTGTACGGCATTTTCAACACCATATCGAAGGCCGTGAATTCACCTTTTTTACTGATCATAAACCTCTTACTTTCTCTTTAAGCTCATCTTCAGACAAGTACTCACCACGTGAGTCTCGACAACTGGACTACATTTCGCAGTTTATTCTAGATATTCAACACATTTCTGGAGCAAACAAAGTAGTTGCAGACTCTTTGTCTCGCATAACTTCCTTGAACAGTTTCCAAGGAATCGAACTTATTAAACTCACCTGGCTTCAAAAAGAAGACACTGATCTTCAGCACGAGTTATCCTCAACAACCCTTAAACTGTGCGTCAAACAGATGGGAACAGGTAAGGAAACCTTACTATTTGACACATCTACAAATAGGGATCGTCCAATCGTGCCGAAACATTATCGACACAACGTCTTCAATACTTTGCACAAACTTTCTCATCCAGATGTTTATGCAACCATCAAGCTTATAGTAGAACGGTTTTGCCGGCCTGTTATGAATAAAGACGTGAGGGAGTGGGCACGCTCCTGTGTAAGCTGCCAAAAGTCTAAGGTGATTAGACACAACAAATTTCTCTTAGGTTCATTTAAAATTCCTGATGCTTGTTTCGACCATGTTCATCTGGATTTGGTAGGACCTTTATCAGATTCAACTGGATACTCTTATCTCTTAACCTGCGTAGACCGTTTCACTCGATGGCCAGAGGCAACACCTATCAAGGACATCACTGCTGAAACAGTGGCCCGCGCCTTCGTCGAACGATGGGAAGCAAACTTCGGCTGCCCTTCAACCATCACTACAGATCGTGGACGCCAGTTCGAATCTGGACTTTTTCGTTGTCTGACCACACTTTTAGGAATCACTCGCTTCCGAACGACCGCCTACCACCCACAAGCAAACGGGTTAGTAGAACGCTTTCACAGACAACTAAAATCTCCACTATCGGCTGCAAACATTTCTCAGTGGACTGATGCCCATCCACTCGTCTTATTAGGTATTCGCAACGCAGTGAAAGCTGACATTGGATACACTGCAGTCCAACTCGTTTATGGAACGACACTTTGAATCCCAGGATACTTTCTGAATCCTTCATCTTCTTCAGTGAACATGGATCTAACCTCCCACACGAGCAGGCTTACAAACGCAATGCGTTCAGTTAAACCTGTTTTCACTCGACCTCAATCAACTGAAGTTTACGTTCAACCAGACTCACGATATAGCACACAAGTCTTCGTTCGTCGAGACCCATATCGATGACCTCTCGAACCAGCATACGAATGACCCTTCAAAGTTCTTCAGCGCGAACCTAGGTACTATATGGTCGATAAGAACGGAATCAACGATAGCATCAGCATCGATCGCCTCAAAGCAGCGTATCTAGAATGAAACCCTATCCATTTCAGTTTTCCCTCGGTACAACCGAAAGACGTGACTCTCACAAATATACTAACTCAACCGGCAGCCAACACACACGATGATACCTTGGCAGTTTACATTTTGTTTCGTATCGATTTTTCCTTGTATCATATATAATATAAAAAGCCAATTCTAATATGCCTATTTTATATATTTATGGAAAAAAACAATTTTTTTGCCATGGGTGTATTAAAAATTTTGAAATTTCTGTAAAAACGGTTTATTTAGGCTTTCGCATGCGCATGAGTTTCTTATTTTTTCGCCCGCTTAGTGTTTTTACGTGCGTACATGTGTATTTTCACATGCACTTACATATTCTTTTTTTCTTTTCCAGGACGCTGGGAAAGACAATAAAAGGACGACGAAATTTACGATGACCCGAAATTTTAATTCTACCGTGTTTCTTTATTACTATGTTGTACCACATTGTCCGTTATAGTAGGGAAAGACTACCAGACGCTGCTTAACCTAGCAAGCTATCAGAAGAGTGTTTACCAGCGACAAAATCCTTGAGTTTAAACTTCTGGTTGGCCACGTCTTTGGGTCATCACCGTCTCACTAAGGAGGGTGATCTATAGCGGTAAATAAATCACCAAAATAAATAGCTCTATAAGTCTTCGACATTGGATGCTGATCACGTTGGTTTCAATGGACTCACCTAGCTGATGGCGCTTGGTCATGCATCCGCACCAGATCACGGGTGGGAACGCCGTACTCAACATCGCCTGCAATCACTAGCCAGTCTAGATCAGTCGATCATTGATATGTTGATAGCCTACCAAATATATCTTCGAACCTCCTCGCTTCTGTCTTTTTATTTCACTTGGTGGGCACGTTTCATATTAGGTGTTACTGGTTCAAGTGTCGTCAAACTCCAAATACCTGTGGCATCCTCAGGAGTATTCTGACGATAATTATTATCACCCAAGATTTCTCCAACTCAAGTTAAAACCGTTTTGAATCAGACGTATTAGGTTTCAACTCGTCTTCATCTGTAGGTCTGTAGATGATGCACCTCACCCTTTAGAATTAATCGGTTCTTAATTTGTCATATTATTTCGCAGTCTGCTAACTAGAGAAAATATTCTATCTACCTCGAGAACCTAACCAATCGGATATCAAATGTTTTCGCTATCCTTACGGGCTTGTGAAACAAACTTCAGGAAAGTCTATGTCGCGGCAAAACTACGACCCGTATGAAGCGTCTCATGATGAGGTTTTTTAAGTATTTCAATTCTAATATTATAGATAAGAGTAATTGCCACTGGTTTATAGAGAAAAGATCCTTCATTTTTATGACTGACTAAAATGTGAAAATAAACTATGAGTGGTTCATTCATACATCTAGATTTCACTTACGTCTGCAATTTTTGTGATTATAATTTCTGTGATTGGTTTTTTTGGTCAACACCGGTATTGAAGACTGAATATGTAGTATTAGGCGGAGATCACCAATTGTGCGTTACTTTTGGGTCGAGGATGGTTGCCGCGGGTGGACGTGCAGTTCAAATTATAAATGTTGAAGAATGTATGAAGAAAACATCATTCAGTCTAGATGAAGAGTCTTTGTCTTCAATTCTTTTAAGACCAGATGTGCGTGACAAAAAAGTTGTTGTGGTGTCTGTCGCTGGTGCGTTTCGTCAAGGAAAATCGTTTTTACTGGATTTTTTCTTACGCTATCTGTTATCCAATGACCGTACTAACTGGTTAGGAGACCCGGAAACACCTTTGAAGGGCTTCCCCTGGCGAGGTGGTTCAGAGAGAGACACTGTTGGAATATTGTTATGGAGCGAACCATTCTTTATGACTCTACCATCTGGAGAGGAAGTAGTCGTTCTGTTAATGGATACACAGGTTTGTAGATATTCTCCTTACTCTTTTACTTTTAAGGGTTCCTTTGATAGCACTAGTACTGTGCGTCAGTGTGCTACAGTTTTCGCTTTGAGTACAATGATCAGTAGTACTCAAGTTTATAACATTCATGGTAATATTCAAGAAGATCACCTACAGCATTTGCATTTATTCACCGAATATGGTCGACTTGCCCTGGAATCTGATATTTCTGGAACACCTTTCCAGGTAAGCGGCTTGAAAAAGATTAATTCATGCAGTATTTACAGCGCAATGTAACAGGCATTTCCTATGTAGTTGCAACTGAGTGTCTAGATGTTACCTGGCTTGTAATCAACCCTATATAGTTTCTGTAATAACTTCACTCATGCTCGGTAATTCTCATTCTTGTGAAATGGGTTTTATAAACAGGTAATCGGTAGTATCATGGTCAGTTTCAGTTTCAGTTTCAGTTTGGGAAGGACAGGAGGCTCGATGGCCTATGTTAGTCCTGGCAATGGTGGTCTCTCAGTTGATCCAACTTTCTTTTGAAAGAGTCGACGGATGGAGCCTCAACCACGTGCTGAGGTAGTGAATTCCACTTGTTGATGATTCGATGGGAAAGTCGATAGTCAGCTGACAAGTAATTTGTTCTCGGCTTATGAACTTTTTTGGAGTGTCCTCGTAAATTCTCTGTTTTGGAAGACAAGAAAAATGAGGGCATGTTAGGTGCAAATTTATCACTAAGCAATTTGTAGACTGTAATCAAGTCGCCTCTAGTTCTGCGATATGACAACGGGAAAAGGTTCAGCTTGGCCAGTCGAGATTCATACGGAAGCTTCGCTATTGCGGGAACCAGCTTAGTCGCCATTCTCTGAACCTTTTCCAGGAGCTCTCTGTCTTTTTTAAAGCAGGGGCTAGCCGCTTGTATGCAGTACTCAAGTTTAGGACGAACGAACACTGTATACAAAGTCAAAAACGTCTTAGTGTCGACATGACTAAAAGCCCTACGTATTGACCATAACGTTCTAAAACTTTTGGCGGCTATTGCACGGCAGTGTGCAGTAGTCTTTAAGTCTTGACTAACGATAACTCCTAAGTCATTATATGTCTGGACGACAGGTAGCTCAGTGTTATTCATCGTGTATGTATCTGTGCCTTGATGACCGATATGCATCACAACACACTTGGAAGTATTTATCGGCAACTGCCATGTTTGAGACCATTCAGATAACTTCTTCAGGTCATTTTGAAGTTCTAAGCTATCACTCTTACATCGTATCGTTCTCCATATCTTGACATCGTCAGCATATAGCAAGACCGATGATGATAGGAGACAAGGAAGGTCATTTACATACAAGAGGAATAGCACTGGCCCCAAAACTGTACCCTGGGGCACTCCACTGAGCACAGTTTCCCAGCTAGATAACTTTGAGTTCACCCTTACTCTTTGTTGACGCCCAACTAAGAAGTCTTTTATCCACATCAATAAATTACCTCCAATCCCGACATGTCTTAACTTATATAACAGCCGGTTGTGCGGAACTTTATCAAAGGCTTTACTGAAATCAATGAAGGTGACGTCTACAGGTAGCTTTTGGTCCTTAAGAGCACACCAGCTTTCACGAGCCACTAATAAGTTAGTGAGACAAGAATAACCTATTCTGAAGCCATGCTGCTTCTCCGAGAGGATCCGGTTTTTATCGAGATACTTAAACAGCTCCTTCCGAATAATCTTTTCTAATATTTTAACAACCACACTAGTTAGGCTAACGGGGCGGTAGTTCTCAGGTTTGTGTTTCGTGCCTGTTTTGAAGACAGGACTTACTATGGCGTTTTTCCAATCTTTCGGTAAGCGACCCTGCGTAACGGATAGGTTAAAGCATGTACTTAAAGGGTTCGCAACGAAGTTAGATAATTCCTTCAATAGCCTAGGATGTAATTCATCGGGCCCCGTGGGTTTACCTGTGTCAAGCTTATTTAGCAGATCAAAGACATCGAGTTCTTTAATGGTCACGCTATCCAGTGTATGTATGGGGGGATCTGTATACGCTGACGAGAAGGGCGCTTCTATGGTATACACGTTGCTAAAGTAGTTCGAGAACGCTTGAGCCTTACCAAAGTCGTCCTCCACTAATGATGAAGCAGTACTGTCTCCCCATAGAGCAGGAATATTTCCTTTTCTCCTTGTCCTTTGGTTTATATAGGAATACAAGCGTTTAGGACATTCTATGGATTCCTTAACAAGTTTTTCTTCGTACAATTTTCTAGACTTACGGAGGGTCGAGGCACAAGTGTTCCGAGCCTTTCGATACTGAGATTTTGACTCATCAGTCCCCAGTAACCTAAATCTATCCCACGTTTTCCTTTTCTTACGGAGAAGGATACGGACCTCCCTACTGAACCATGGTGGTGAGTTTTTCGGCCCCTTTGGTATAGTCCAAGGGATGTGAGGTGTGGTAACTTTTAAGTATGATTTTCGAAATGTGTCCCAGGCCGTTTCAATGGAGGACTCTGGGTCTATTGTCCAATCTATTAACGATGCTGAGTGCATGATGTCTGGTATGTTTGCTTTCCAGACGTTGAGTCTGGATTGGACTGACGCGTCCTCATGACTGGCAGTTATATGGAAGTCGAAAGTTAAGACTGCGTGGTCACTTTTACCTAAGGGTGGCATATGGTGGAGGTTCGCAACATCATCCTCATAGTGAGTCAGTATAAGATCTAATAAGGATGATTCAGTGTCCGGGTCGTACCTAGTCGCTTCTTTCACATGTTGCACTAGGGCACATGTGATAACCGCATCAACTAGTTCCTGCTCGAAGGAATTTTCTGACGATTCAGTTCGCAGATTTTCCCAGTCTACCACTGGTGCATTAAAGTCCCCTAGGATTAGACATCGACCACTTTGGGACCAAGTATTGAGACTGCTTAACAGGATCTCATTTGCCTCACAGCTTGGACTGCGATAGACCAAACCAATCAGCAGCTCTTGTCCCTTGCATTTTAAGCGAAGACTAACTAATTCACACGTCCCACTCTCATGGGATACACTATCGATAATGGTAAATGGGATAGCATTCCTAATGAATAGAGCTACTCTCCCTCCTTTGCGCTTTTGTGTTCTGTCGGCCCTTACTAACGTAAAGCCCTCGAAATCAAGTTCTATACTATCTATAGCCTGTGTCAGCCAGGTTTCTGTTACTGCGATTATATCTGGCTTTATAGAGTCAATCTGTACACCTAGTTCCGATCGCTTATTAAGTAAGCTTCGTGCATTGGTGTAACAGATCCGAAGCCTGTTTAGGTGCCTTCGTGCTTCACCCAGAGTGGCTTCGGCATCATTCTCTGTCGAAGTCTTACAACCCGAAAATTTACAATTTTCAGGTCCTTTTCGCCAGCGTCTAACCTATGTTGTAGTTCTTTCTCGGCTTCCCGTCTTTTAACACGGTCTGCCAACGGTAGGTCCTTTCGGATAAAGACTCCCGAACCCTTTAATTTGTGTCCATTTTGTAAAATTAGGTCACGTTCGTTTGAAGAGCCGAATACTACTTTAAGCAGTCTGGAATGATTTGGTTTCGAGTCCGTTAGACTCCCTAGTCTATACACCTTTAGCAAGGTGACCCCAGTCATATTTTGAGGCATGAGTTGATTAAGCAGCTGCCTAATCAGTACAATGTCATGCTCAAAACGAGCTTTAGGTTCAGAGCTATCGCTCTCCTTAATTCTGTGAAAAATAGCTGATCTGTCGCTATGATCAGCTTTCGATTTTTCAACCACTTTTACGGGGGCAGGTTTCCCTTTTATATCAATACTTTTCTTCCTTACAACCTTTACCCATTCGTTAACG